CTGGCTGGGGAATTCTGGGAGTTGAAGTCCACACGTCTTCAAGTCGCCAAGGTTGAGAAACTCTGCTATAGAGATAGCGACACTTCTGGAACAAAGTTGATTTGCAGACACCAAGTGGAGATGAACTTTTCTCTCTTTTGGGGTGGGGGCTGCCAGAGTCGTTAAAAGATAGCCTCATCAACTTTCTAGTTAGGATTAAGTAAAATGGCGCACGCGCGCGCGCGCACACACACACACACCCTCCCCCCAAAACTAAAGATTTCTCCGCGAGATAGAAATCTGCCTGCTTCGTTGGCCGCCTCTAGGACAATGGCTGTCTGCAGAACATGAAAACACTGCCCAGGTGTAGGACAGCTTCGCTCTCCATTCTGGGGGTGTTCAGCTGCAGAGCTGAAAACGTGTAAGATTTCCACCATGTTGCTTAGCAATAGACCCCGCGGCTGCCACAAGGCCCCTCACTCACCAGGAGAAAAATGATAGACCCGTTTCAGGAAAGCCGCTTTGCCAAAGCTTCTCGCAACAGAACTTGGTGCAACTTTCTCCCGGCCGCGTGTTCTTCCGGCCGTCTTCCAGCGGTGAACGGCAACCGCTTGCTCCTTTGCGGAAGAAGGCTTGAAGTTCCAAAACTGGAGGCTTGCTGGTTGTTCTCGAGGTCCCTGGCCCTGCTAAGTAGGCCAAGCTAGTAGAAAATAGGCTTTTTAAAACCCTATTTGGATTATCTTTTTAGATAGCTTACAGCGATGCTTCCAAGGCCCATTTTAATGGAAGCCTGGACAGCGCAGTCTTCCACACAGAAGCACGTTGCATTTTCCCACTGAGGCTGTCACTGGTTTTCATGTCACGGGTAATCTTCTGAAGAGTGGAAGGTGGAATCATTACAGTCTTTTGATTGCCAGCACGTTGGTCTGGAAACATCCATGTTCCCAACTATTTGATTAAAACAGTGTTTTCTTGCAGATCGTTTTGTTGAGGGTTTTTCTTTTTATCCTATTAACTTCAGCTAGAAACTGGGGGGGGCGG